CACACGATTCTGCAGATGAGGAAACTGAGGCTCAGAGCAAATAAGCAATCTCTCCAAGGTCACACAGTTAAGTAGAGCCTGTTTCAAGTAAAGCAACCAAGCCAGCCTTCTCCTTGCCGTCTGTATTGCCTGCCCCAGGCTCAGGAAGTTGCCAGATTTAGGAGCTGGAAGTGCAGCAGGAGTCTAGCACAAGACTGCATGCTCACCCTGAGAACCTGGGACCAGAGGAGCCACGCTGGCATCAAATCCCTAAGGCCTCCTGTGGAAGATGGTGGAGGGGACTTGGGGCAACCAAAAAACCCTCAAGAGACCAGGACTTAGACATTCAAAGAAAGGGAAGGGCAGAAGTGAAAGAAGGGTAGGATGACTCCACTAAATGAAGTGTAAACCTGAGACTAGAGAGAGCACATTCGCCCAGAGACTTGCCAACAAAATGTGCTGAACTCAAGCAACCTTCCATCCATCCATATAACCGTGCATCCATGCATCCTTCCATCCCTCCATCCACCATTCCTCAGTCCATTCCTCCATCATCCATCCATCCACCCACTCACCAACCCATTCATCATCCATCCATCCATCCACTCATCCATCCACTCATCCATCATCCATGCATTTATCCATTCAATATCCCCCATCCCTCCATCCATTCATCCACCATCCATCTTTCCATTCATCCATCCATCCACCCTTCCATCCACCCACTCACCAACCCATTCATCCATCATTCATCATCCATCCATCCACTCATCCATCCACTCATTCATCATCCATGCATTTATCTATCCAATATCCCTCCATGCCTCCATCCATCCACTCACCATCCATCTATCCATCCCTCTGTTCATCCATCCTTCCATCCACCCACCCAACAACCCACCTATCCATCACCCATCTATCTTCCATCCATCCACTCATTCATCATCCATGCATTTATCCATCCAATATCCCTCCATCCCTCCATCCATCCATCCACCATCCATCTAAACATTCCTTCATCCATCCATCCTTCCATTCACCCACTCACCAACCCATTCATCCATCATTCATCATCCATCCATCCACTCATCCATCCACTCATTCATCATCCATGCATTTATCCATCCAATATCCCTCCATCCCTCCATCCCTCCATCCACCATCCATCTAAATATTCCTTCATCCATCCATCCTTCCATCTACCCACCAATCAACTCACCCACCCATCATCCATCTGTCTCCCGTCCATCTCTCCATTCCTCATCTATCCATTCTTCCATCCGCCCACCCACCAACCCACCCATCCATTACCCATCTATCCTCCATACATCCATTCATCCATCATCTATCCATGTATCCATCTATCCATCCAATATCCATCCATCCCTCTGTACTTTTGTCTGTCCATCCTCTCAACAAGCATTTACTTCCTCTGTGTTGGGCACCACCCTCAAGAAAGTCAGTCCAATAAAATAGAAGCACAGAAACAACCTTGGTAAAAGTTAATAGGGCTGTGACAGAAAGAAGCACTGAGGTCTGAGGAGACCCAGGAGGCACCCAGCCCACGCAAGGATTGTCTAGGAAGGCTTCCTGGAGGGGGTAGCACCAGATCCAAATCTCAGAGGATGAATACGGCACCCAAGCAAAAGAAAATGGGCATTTCACACCAAGAGGAAAAACAGGGCACTGCAAAACTGCTTGTTGTGTTCGAGGGACTAAAGGTGGGTCCATGTGGGCTGCAGGGAAGGGCATCTGTGCAGGGATGGGGAGAGAGAGGGTTGAAGAAGAGGGCTGTGATGGGGAGTTAAGCTCCCCTTTGAGAATCTTGATGTAGAACTGAAATCTGGGGAAAACGTGGTCCCCAACTTTGGGGAGATAAGCACCAGGGGCAACCAGTGTGGCCCTTAGTGAAGAAGACCAGAGAGAGGAGCTTAGAGCCACAGCCACCAAAGATGCGGGAGAGGCATGAAGGCCGCCCACCCCTAGCTGGGAAGAAAGAGCAGGGCTTGTGTTTCTAGCCACGGCCAGGTGAGGGCTGGAACTCCAAGACCCCCATCATCAGTGTCTCCTTACCCCACCACTGGAGGTCCCAACCAAGGACAAACCAAGACTTGGATGTGTTTCACTGAGTCAGCCCCATCTTTTTAAAAACGTTAATCTGAATGTCTTTAGTCAGGAGTGAAATTAGAAATTGTTAATAACTGCAACAGCCCAGCACCAACCGATCAGAGTGGACTCGAGCCTTGGTACTGGAGCAGGTTCCAGAAGGCCCTGCTGGCCAGGAGCTGGCTCTTTAGCTGCTGAGTCCAGAGGGGTTCCTGGGGGTCCAGGGCAGCAGAAGTGTAATCAGGAGTGAAGGGCCACAGCTTCTGACCATCCAGTGCAGAAGCATTTGATCATCTTGACAGCTGGTGTGCCCATGTCAGTGCATGCAGGCCGTGTATCAGTCCTGCCTTTGAACGGGGTCTGCAGGCTCCACCCAGTCGGCCACAGTCCCCATGACACCCTGTCGTCCTACACCTGGCAGATGACGTGTTTGGGTTCTTAATACTTCATCTTACAGAGCCCAGAGAAGCCACATCAGTGGCCAATGCCCCCTAGACCACAAGCTGCGGGGTCCAGATAAGAGGCCGGCTGACACCAGCAACACGTGTCCTTGGCACAAACTACACCCCAGCCTCTCAGTGTGTGCACGTTCCTGGAACAGGTGTCCACATCTTCAGCCCAGTACGGTGCCCTTTCAGGGGCAATACTGGCAACCGCGCCCACTATCACTGAGTGTGCACTATGAGCCCCGTGCAGGGCTGTAGCTCCCTGAACCCACGCAATGTCCTGGGGGCCTGTGGTGTCCCCCATTGTTTTTAGGTGAGGAAGTGGAGGCTAAGAGGTGTGGGGAAGTGAGTTGCCCCTGGCCACACAGCCCAGTGGGGGTTAAAACCTGGGTCCATCAAACTCCAACACTGGTGCCCCCTGCCCCAGACATCCCCAGAGAAGTCTTCAGGTAACAGAGCCCAAGGAGCAGCCTGTGACAGCAGCGAGGGGCCAAGAAGCCACTGGGGTCACCGGCCATGCAGAGCGAAGGAGCAGGATAGATGGGGAAGTCCCAGGTGACATCACACTCACCTGCTCCTCTCAGAAGTGATTCGGCCGCTACGATGACCCTGGAGCTCGGCTGGCCAGCTCGGTGGATTCTCCCACAGCCCGGAGGGAAGCCTGGTGAGCCCCATCTCCTAGGCGGAATATAGGCCCGAGTCACATGGCAGAAGGTGGTGGAAGCAGGGCTGGGACCACAATATGCCCCCATGGCTCTTCCTCATCCTCTCCACGTCACCTCCACACTGCCCTCATATCACCTCCCCGGCATCTGCACGTCGTCATCTCCACATCCCCTATCCAGTGCCTTCATGTCACCTCCACGTCACCTCCACAGTGTCACAGTGACATCACCTCACCTCCATAACACCGTCACATCACCTGTACGTCACCACCACGGTATCTCCACATCCCCTCCACAGCAGCTCCACGTCCCTCCTCCTCACCTCCGTAACACCTCCACATCGCCTGAGCTTTACTCCACAGCGCCTCCACGTTGCCATCAATATTGCAATATTGCCCTCTCTGGCTTATATCTTCTTTCCATCATTTTTTCGTTTCGTGTTTAATAATTTTTTTTTTTTTTTTTGGACACAGAATCTCACTCTGTTGCCCAGGCTGGAGTGCAATGGCACAATCTTGGCTCGCTGCAACCTCCACCTCCTAGGTTCAAGCAGTTCTCCTGCCTTAGCCTCCTAGTAGCTGGGACTACAGGTGTGTACCACCACACCCAGCTAATTTCTGTATTTTTAGTAGAGATGGGGTTTCACCATGTTGGCCAGGCTGGTCTCAAACTCCTGACCTCAGGTGAAGAGTTTGGCCTAACTCACCTTGGCCTAATAATTCTTTCCATTTTTCTGATTTCATTTTTTCTGATCGCACTAAGTCCCCCAAATATCATCGTCACCCCTTGGACTCTTAGCTCCTCCCTTGCGGGGATTCCTCGGTGCCTTTGTTCATGTCGTTGCCTCACCCAAGGGCTCAAGGCCCAAGAGGGCATGGGGCCTCCACCAAGAAATGACATTAATAATTAGATAATTGGTCATTAATCATTGTGCTCCATAATAGACAATGCATATTTGCCGTGGCAACTGGAACATCCCCCAGACCTGGCAGAACAGCCAGAGGAGGCTGAAAGTGCAGGGCTAGCCCTGCCGATGTCTCAGGGAACGGGCAGGTGGACGTGGCTCTGCACTTGGTGAGCAGGGGAAGGGGGCAAGAATCCCCAACTCTACTCTCCCCATGGGAAAGTTCACTTCCCGTCTATGGCTCTTTTCTTTTTTTTTAATCAATTAATAAGTGAGCCTTCTTTTCTATCAATTTAAAACGTTCATCTTGGCCAGGTGTGGGGGCTCTCACCTGTAACCCCAGCACTTTGGGAGGCCAAGGCTTGAGGCCAGGAGTTTTGAGACCAGCCTGGGCAACATAATGAGACCCCATCTCTATAAATAATAAAAAGAATTAGCCAGGTAAAGTGGCAGTGTACCCCTGTGGTCACAGCTACTCAGGAGGCTGAGGTGGGAGGATCCCTTGAGCCCAGGAGTTAGAAGTTGCACTGAACCATGATGGCACCACTGCACTCCAGCGTGGGTGACAGAATGAGACCCTGTCTCAAAAAAAAAAAAAATGAGTCTCTGTAATGATGTTTTTGCAAAATAAACAACCAACATAAGAAGTAAATAAATAAGCCAGATGCAGTGGCTCAGGCCTATAATCCCAGCAACTCAGGAGGCCGAGGCAGGAGGATCCCTTAGGTCAGAAGTTCAAGACTAGCCTGGGCAACATAGTGACACCCCATCTCTTGAAAAAATTGTTTAATTAGCCAGGTGTGGCGGTGCACGCCTGTGGTCCCAGCCACTCAGGGGGCTGAGGTGGGAGGATGGCTGGAGCCCAGGAGGTCGAGGCTGCACTGAGCCATGATGGCACCACTGCACTCTGGCCTGGGTGACAGAGGAAGACTCCAACTCTAAGAAAAATAAATAAAATTAATTAATTAATTAAAATGAAACCTTCAAAAAAAAAAACAAACTCCTATTTCAGGCCCATATCTAATGCCACCTCCTCGGAGAAGCCTTCCATGATACGCACCTGCTCAAAATTCTCCCTCCTCCTCTGATCCGCAGCCTCTGACAGCTTCCCACGGTGGGGTCCAGGGTGGCTGTGCAGGCCGTGACTCACGCTTGTTGAGGACCCTGGCATGACGCCCTCCATTCAGGTGGGATCAGGGGCAGAACAAGGGCCAGTGGCCAGAGCTGTGGGAGGGGTGGTTGGCTCAGTCTCGGGGAGAGCTTGCTCTCGGAGTTGTCCACAGAGGCCTCCCGGTCAGGCAAGGAGCTCCCTGTTCCTGGGATGGGCAAGCCAGGCAGGAGGGGCACCGGTCCTCCTGTGCAGCCGTAACAAAGCCCTGCAGACCACGGGGCACAAACAACAGAAATGGTTTCCTCACACTTCTGGAGGCTGGGGGTCCAAGGTCAGCGTGCCAGCAGGGCTGGTTCCTTCTGAGGCCTCGCTCCTTGGCCTCCGTCCTCACAGGGTCTTCCCTCTGTGTGTGTCTGTCCTACTCTCCTCTTCCTATAAAGACATCAGTCAGATTGGACTGAGGCCCACCCAAATGACCTCACTTTGCCTTAATTATCTCCTTCAAGACCCTCATTCCAAATGATCCTGGGAGGCTGTGAGGGCGATCTGGCTGCAACGCCTGTCACGCCATTGATTGCTAGGGTCGATTCGGCTGATCTTGCTGGCCAGACGGGTGTCCCCCTCCTCCCTCACTGCTCCACGTGCGTCCCTCCCAAAGCTGCATGCTGCGTTGACCATCCTGACAGAGGAGGACCAGTCTTCGGTCAAGGGTATATGAATAGCTGCACTCCCCTGCTAGAACTCCAAACAAGCTCTCAAGATCCAAATGACACTGGGGATTAGGGTTTCAACACAGGAATTTGGGGTGCCCAGTGCAACCCATAAGCTATGGCCTCCCGTGGGATGGGGCAGAGACTTCAACCATTACAGCTGCAACTTCCAGCTGGAAGCCACGACCCGTCTTTTGTGGCTACTCTGGAGGTCGGGAGACCTCGGCCCTCATCCCAGCCCCTCTGTGCCTGTACTTTGGGGCCTTGGCTGAGTCTCTGCTTCCGTGAGCCCCTTGTCCTCCCCATTCTGTCAGGATATGTGGTCCAAGGCCCATTGTGGCCCAGGAAAGGGAGGGTGTCCACCCAGCACCTTCATGGCCAGCCCCAGGGCTGGCACAGCTGGAGCAAAGCCACTCCTGGTCCCCGAAGATGCGGGGACAGAAGGCCAGGAGGGCATCCCCCTTCACCACTGCTGCCATACTGGCCACCGCTCGGTGATTCCACAGCAGTCATGCATCACAGACGACCATTCGAGCCACTCTGTCTCAGTCCACTGGCCCTGCCTCAGAAGGCCGAGGCATTGCCAAGGTCATGGTTCCCTCACCGCTGGGGGGAGGCCTGAACCACACCACGGTAGACAGACCCATGGTGCTAATACTGTCTATCATTCCGTCCTTATTCGAAAAACAAAGCAGCAAAGAAAGGTTCATTGCGGAAAATTTAGAAAATGCAGAAATGAACAGAATTAAAATCACCTGCCATCCCAATGTCCAGCAAAATGACATCTTGGCATCCTCACCTCTCTCTTGCTTTGTGCAAAAATGGCCCGATGGCAGCTGGCCCACCAGCCTTGAGCTCCCCAGCCACAGAACATGGCCTGGCACCAGGGACTTTGCTGCAGGTTCTGCAGGAGCCTGGGAAGTCGAGGCATCCACTGCCACACCCACGACAAGCCTCGTGACAGCCTATCCCCTCAGAGATCACCTTCTCCGAGGTCTCCCTTGGCCACACCATCCCCCAGGGCTGCCATCCTTCTCTGTCTTTGCCCCACCCCACGTCCAGCCCCCTTGTTCCCTCCTCTGCAGGGTCCCCAGAATCAGGCCATAGCCACACTCATCAGGCAGCTTGGCACACGTCCCTCCCCGATCAGAAGCCAGCTTTCATCAAGTGAATCCAGCTGAACTCTCATTACTCCAGCAGCTGCTAGGTGCCAGACCGTGCATCAGTGCTAGGGATACACAGGGCAACAGAGTCCTCAGCCTTAAGGACCCTGTAGTCTGAGGGTCAGGGTTGGAATGAACTCATGGAAAGGGGCAGGCATGGCATGTGATGGGCCACTCTACAGAGGAGATTGGCTTAGAAAGTGCCTGTCTAACCATGGACAGTAAGCACCGTGAGGGCAGCGGCAGGCTCGTCCTCCTGCCCCCTCCAGGCCCCTTCACGGTGGTGCCCAGCCCAGAGTGGCCCCCATCCTAGGCTCAGCACTGGCTAAGAGCTGCCCCCAGCGTGCACTCATTCCAGGCACTGGCGGCCGCTGTGCACATGGACAACAGGGCTCTGGAAGCCCCGGCGTGGCCCCAGAAGAGACTCAGGTGCTGGCCAGGAGACCCGAGGACTTGTGTACAGAGCCCTCTGCTCCATGCCCTGAGACAGTCCCTCCATCTCGTTCCTTGATTTTCTACAAAATTAGAATTTTGCTGTATAAACATCTCATATTTTGCCTTTTTGGAAAGTAAAACCCATGATGTGTTCTGTCCGATTTAGAATGTTCCCACCCAGGGCTGCAGGATGCACTTAGCTGCTTCTCTCTGGCCAGTGTCCAGATGTCGTATTCGTCCATTTTCACGCTGTTGATAAAGACATACCCGAGACTGGGCAATTTACAAAAGAAAGGGGGTTAATGGACTCACAGTTTCACAAGGCTGGGGAGGCCTCACAATCATGATGGAAGGTGAAAGTCACTTCTTGCATGGCAGCAGCAAGAGAGAGAACTTGTGCAGGGAAACTCCCATTTTGAAGACCATCAGATCTCTTGAGACTCATTCACTATCACAAAAACAGCACAGGAAACCTCCGCCCCCATAAATTCAATCACCTCCCACTGGGTTCCTCCCACGACACATGGGAACTGTGGGAGTTACAATTCAAGATGAGATTTGAGTGAGGACACAGCCGAACCACGGCAGGTGTTTTGTTTTGTTTTGTTTCTCCTGTTGAGATGGCCTCAAGGCACGGGGAAGCATCCTGGCCCCCACCTAAGCTCAGTGCCCTGAAGGCTGAGCTGCTCTGGGATCCGGCAGTGTCCAGCTCCTGCCTTGTGTGTCCCCATTCAGTGACAGGAGCCCTGTGGCCGACCTCCTGCCCCCTACCCCCATCCGCAGTTAATGGAAGGAGTGAAGAGATTCAGGGAGAGGCCTGGGGCCCAAGGCAAGCTGGCAGCAAGGCCTGCTCCCTTGGAGTCTAGAGCAGACGCAAACGATTTGTATCTGCCAAGGGCTCCGAGGACTAGTCCCAGGGCACACAGCAAGGGTCTCGGTCCCCCCGATAGCTGCCTCCACCTTCCACCTAACCCTGCTCAGAGGATAGAGAGCTCAGATTACTAAATTAAGGAGGCAGCAGCCCCTCTGGTCTGGATTCTGCTCAGCCAGTGGCATGGGTGGGTGCACCTGCTTCCGTAAAACCTCTCTTCTGCCAGCCTAGGGCTTCTGTCTTTATGGGGAGGAACCCCCAGCGTGGGGAGACAGGAGCAGGCTCGGGGTATCAGCAACAGCCTAGAGTAGGGTAGGGATTGGGGCCTGGCAAGGAGCACCTGGAGAGAGAGTCACTCATTCATTCATTCATTCATTCATTCCCTCCCTCACTGGGTGAGTGGCGCCTACACCAGCCAGGTTCTGTCTAGGTGCTGGGGACACAACAGTGGCCAAGTCCCCACCCTCACGAGCTGATGCTCCAGTGAGGGAGGAGGAGACAATAAGCCTGTGTCAGATATAAAATTCAGCCGCTGATGAAGACAGAGAAAAGCAGGCCCCGATCCCAGAAATCATCTAACACCTGCAGGGTTTGGACTGGCCCTGGAGGAAGCGCAGGCGGAGATGGCTGGAAATGAGAGAGAGCCAGTTCCACCTGCGATCTAAAAGCCTTCTCTGGAAGGGGTGGACAGAGGCATATCGGAAGGAGGTGCCAAGACCAGGCAGGAGGCGGCTGTAATAACCCAGGGAGAGAGGCTGGGGGGCTGGCCCTGGCAGCTCGGGGGGCAGACAGGAGGGGTGGGTGGAGGAAGCAGCCAGGGCCAGGTGACTGGCAGGCGCTGCTGCACACCCGCACCAGGGAGCAGGCAGTGAGCTGGCCCTCGAAGTCAGACACCACCCACCGCTGCTGCCCGGGGGACAGCCCCTGGCAAACCTCGTGTCAAAGGTCAGGGTTTTGAGCAGAAAAATTCACCAAAGAATAAGGATCTGGTGGGGGGAAACAGGAACATGATTGCCTCTGCTTGGTGGATTCCATGCTGCTTTAAATAAGGGGCTGAAATGCGCATGACCCTGTGTTAGGAGACGGGAGATCTGCACACAGTCACAGTCAGTCCTGGGGAGGGGGTGTCCACAGGGGTCACACCGGCTTAAAGAGGGGAGGACAAGGGCCGCGGCGTGGTAGGGGTGGCTGGAGCGGAGCCCAGTGGGTCCAGCAGTAAGAACCGCGTGCCTCTCAGGTGCTGCCCTGCATGTCGGGGAGGAGGGCAGGGGGAGTCCGAGGCTGGACAGGAAATACCCCTCCTGTGACCTGGGAACCCCAGCAATGGTGCCATTCTCATCCTCGCTGTCAACAGGACAGGCGCTGTTCTCACCCCACACCGAGCGATGCATGTCATCCTCTCTTCCACTCTGCCAGGGAGGAGCCATTCCTCCCCCGTTTACAGATGAGGAAACTGAGGCCCAGACTACTTAAATAACTTGTCCAAGTTGTGGTTTGTGAGTCACAGACCCAGGACCCAACCTCAGCCCACCCTCGAGCCGATCAGGGCAACCCCTGCCTCCTAGGCTTGGAGGCATGAGGGCAGCCTACGTGAGCTGTCTCCGCCCCGTGGTCCAAAGAGGCACGCCCACCTCTCCCCATCAGATTGGCGAGTCCTGAGTGGAACCCTGGCACGTCCACGGGGATTCAGAGGAGACTCTGATACGACCACACATGTGCATACACACACTCACATACAGACACACACACTCACACCACACACACACTCTAAACCAGAGAAACAGTAGCTTCAGCCACCAAGTGGCCACGAAGGTGTCTCCGCTGGGGAGATGGTCTGAGTTAGTCTCTGACTTCCCTGTGGATTGAAAGCCAAGACAGAGAAAAGGGAGTTTGGCAGGGAAAAGGAATGAGGGCTGGTGGGGAGTTCCGGGAAGCCACTTCCTATCCTGGGACACCAGGCCCCAGGAGTCCCCAAAGCCCAGGGCCACAGGTGACCTCTCCATGGCACTCCCCAGCCCTGGGACAGGAGGCCCCTCTGCCCGCCTCCCCTGGAGCCTGTGCTTGCCCCTCTCGGGCTCCCATCACAGGATGCCCCCTTATCTCTAGGCACCCACCAGAGCCCGCGCCAGATCCATTGAGTCACCAATGTCTCAGAAAGCTGGAAGGACCCTGCACACAGGGGAGGTCGTCTTCTCAGGGCCTTCTAGGGGACCAGAGCGGCATTTAAGAGGAAAGGAAACCAGCCCTGAGCTATAAAACGAAAGCAGGGGCAGCTGCTCACCCCACGCAGGGAGCCCAGGCTGGGCACTGTCCTGGAGGGTCAGATGTCCAGCCCTCATATCTGCCTTAATGCCCACAAGCCCAGAAGAGGTCTGGCCAGAGGAGGCCAGTGCATGCTCTCAGCTCAGAGTCTAGATGATGGGTTCCGGAAGAGCCAGGGCCAGCAGGAATCCGGATGGGGCCCTGGGGGATCACATATGGGGGGGTGCATTTGATCATCACCTTCTCTAGCTCCTGGGAGCTACAGTGCTCTAACAGTGTGGAGTGCCGAGGCCCAGAGTGAAGGGTCTTGTCCGAGTCACAACACAAGGTCTCCAGGTGCCGTTGCCAAGCCCAGGGATAAGGGAGTGTGTGAAGGGGGATTTTTTTTTTTTTTTTTTTTTGAGACAGTGTTTCGTTCTTGTTGCCCAGGAGTGCAATGGTGTAATCTTGGCTCACTGCAGCCTCTGCCTCCCAGGTTCAAACATTTCTCCTCCCTCAGCCTCCTAAGTAGCTGGGATTATAGGCAGGCGCCACCACACCCAGCTAATTTAGTATTTTTTAGTAGAGACGGGGTTTTACCATGTTGGTCAGGCTGGTCTCGAACTCCTGACCTCAAGTGATCGACCTGCCTTGACCTCCCAAAGTGCTGGGATTACAGGAGTGAGCCACTGCACCAAGCCAACAAAGTTTTTGTTTGTTTGTTTGTTTTTGAGACAGGGTCTCACTCTGTTGCCCAGGCTGGAGTGCAGTGACGCAGTCTTGGCTCACTGCAGCCTTGACCTCCAGGGCTCAGCTGATTCTCCCACCTCAGCCTACTGAGTAGTTGGGAGTATAGGCGTGTGCCATCACATTCAGGTAACTTTCATATTTTTAGTAGAGATGGGGTTTCACCATGTTGCCCAGGCTGGTCTGGAACCCCTGGACAGAAGCAACCTGCCCACCTTGGCCTCCCAAAGTGCTGAGATTATAGGGGTGAGCCACCTCACCAGGCCAGGAAGGGGCATTTCTACCTCACCCTGCCCCATGGCTGCTCCACCAGCCTCAGAGATGGCAGGGTTCCCCACCAGCCCAGGCTGAATGCAGAGCCCCAGAGAGCAGGTAATTCAGGGCACACATATTCACATAGTTCCCTCAAAACACTCATGGGCCAGCGAGTGCAAATGTGTTTGCCCAGTGGCACAAAACAGTCAAAACTTGGCCAGGCGCGATGGCTCAGGCCTGTAATCCCAACACTTTGGGAGGCCGAGGTGGGTGGATCACCAGAGAGGAGTTCCAGACCAGCCTGGCCAACATGGTGAAACCCCGTCTCTACTAAAAAATACAAAAATTAGCCGGGCGTGGTGGCGGGCACCTGTAGTCCCAGCTACTCAGGAGGCTGAGGCAAGAGAATCGCTTGAACCCGGGAGGTGGAGGTTGTGGTGAGCCAAGATCACGCCACTGCACCCTAGCCTGGGCGACAAGGTAAGACTCCTTATTTAAAAAAAAAAAAAAAAGTCAAAACTCCCGCTCCGCCTGGGCTTTCTGAAGACAAATCTCCCAAGGCCACCCGCCACACAGGGAGGATGTGGCTACCACAGGGTGTCTTATTTGACAGTGGGAATAAAAAGCAGGGACAAGAATAATTCCACCTTCTCTAGCTAAGGAGCATATTGCACATAGTTTGTTGCACTGATTTTTTTCAAAAACATAAATAGCATGTGCAAGATATTTCCAAAAACAAAGACAAAATGGGGGGAACGTATCTCAGTCCTCTGTCTTGGCTGAACTCTTTGCAGAGTCAGGGGAAGGCGCATGGTGGCTCATAGCCAAACAACGTGTGCTGGCTCAGGGCCAAGCCCAGCAAGCCTCGTTCATCAGCTCGAAGCAAACCACGTGCTTCCAGACGGGGCCAGACACCTGGCAAATGGGCCTGATGCGTCCCATAATTCAAGGCTGGCGTGGAGGAAGTGAAGGCAAGGAGGGCCCGGAGAGAAGGCTGGACTCCAAGGGGGTCAGGGGCTTGGAGGAGGCCCCTCTGCTGCTGGGTCATTAACCCCAGTGTGTCAGGAATCAAAAGAGTATAGGAGGGGCCGGGCACGGTGGCTCACGCCTGTAATCCCAGCACTTTAGGAGGTTGAGGTGGGCGGATCACGAGCTCAGGAGATGGAGACCATCCTGTTAGCAACATGGTGAAACCCCATCTCTACTAAAAATACAACAAATTAGCCAGGCATGGTGGCAGTGCCTGTAGTCCCAGCTACTCGGGAGGCTGAGGCAGGAGAATGGCGTGAAGCCGGGAGGCGGAGCTTGCAGTGAGCCAAGACTGCACCACTGCACTCCAGCCTGGGCGACACAGCCAGACTCTGTCTCAAAAAAAAAGAGTATAGGAGGGTGGCCGGGCGTGGTGGTTCATGCCTGTAATCCCAACACTTTGGGAGGCCGAGGCAGGCAGATCACTTGAGATCGGGAGTTGGAGACCAGCCTGGCCAATATGGTGAAATCCCATCTCTACTAAAAATACAAAAATTAGCAGGGCCTGTTGGCGTGCGCCTGTAATCCCAGCTACTCGGGAAGGTGAGGCAGGGGAATCACTTGAACCCGGGAGGCGGAGGTTGCAGTGAGCCAAGATCACACCACTGTGCTCCACCCAGCCTGGACAACAGAGTGAGACCTTGTCTCAAAAAAAAGAGTATAGGAGGTGAATGAAGACAACGAGGGACAGGCAGGGGCAGTGACGGGGGAGGAAAGGAGAAAAAGAGTTCCCTCAGACCTCCCGGGGCACCTGCTAGCTCTGGGTCACCGTTCTGCCCAACAGCCCTGACAGGCCCTTGTCCTCAGCCCAAGAGGCAAAGACCTCCCACTGTGGCCAGGACACTGATGGAGAAAGGCACAGAGGCGATGCCTAAAGCAGCTTGGGCAATCCAGGAATGCTTCCTGGGGGAGGTGACAACCAGGTTGGGACCTGAGTCAAAAGATAGCTATTAGCTAGGCAATGAGCTTGGGTTGGGGTGTTCAGGAGGGGAGGAAGGAACACTCCAGGTAAGTCAGCAGAATCTTCAAAGGCCAGTGCAGCAAAGTAGAGGGTCTGCAGGAGCTCAATGTGGCAGAGGACTGGGGTGCAGGCAGAAGGTTGACGCTGGGGTGGGCAGGGGTGCATGGGGCCAGCTATCCTAGGGATGTGAACTTCATCCCATTGGCAGCAGGGAGCCACCCAGGACGGTGAGAGGAACCACCTGACTGGATACATGGAGTGGCCAGCCAACAGCACCTCTCCTGTGTTCCAAGCCAGGGGAGAAACCACACACGGGACTTGGCAGATGGGAAACCAAGATGCCCCCTTATTGCTAAGGAAAGGGATTTTGGAGAATATGGCTTCTGTCTGCAGGCCAGCGAGAGGCCTAGCATGAGCTCCAGTGTTGGACAAACTGACTGACCATGGGCCTCCACAGCCTGGGCAGGTATCTGTCATCATGGGGCAGGGGGAAGATGGTAGGCCCCTGTCGGCCGACCTCATCTACAAACTCTCCCTCTGAGTAGGAGGAGGGCGCCCAGGAGAGGCTGGAGGAGGCCCTCCCCAGTGGAAGGGAACATCAGGAGGGGGTCATCAGGCGCTAGCTCCTGGCAGAGCCCACAGGCTGGATGGAGGAGCTTGGGAGTACAGAAGCCCAGAGCCCCGCCAGTCCTCCAGAGAGCTCCTCTGTAAGGACTGAACCAGATGCAAGAACTAGAGGCAGCGTCTGTCCCACAGTGTTTAGGACTCAACTGCCATGTAATCCAGGCATAGAAAACTAACGCCGGGGGACAGGCTTTTGTGGACTAGCAAGTCAGGGACAGGACTGGACCCATGCCCTGGGCTCCTGACTCCCTGCCCCACAGCTTCTTCCCTCACAGCGTTTTCCACTTACACTTTGCCCCCGAGGACTTCCTCACGCTGAGTCTGGTGCACACGGCCAGTGCTCCCGGCAGCTGTCCACAGTCATCTGCGTGACCAAGTGCTGCAAAAATGTCACCAGAGACACGAATCCCAGCGTGACAAACAAGACACGATCACCATCAGGCCTGAGCCCACTCTACAGATGGGGTAAGAGGCCAAGCAGCCTGACGAGCGAGTTCTCAGCACAAAGAGCATCCCTGTACTCCTGAATCCTCAAAAGAGTATAGGAGGGACCGGGCACGGTGTCTCACTACTGTGGGAGGCTGAGTTCAGCCAGATGTCCCAGGCTAGAGCCGGGCTCCGAGACGAAGGCGGGGAAGGGGCGGAGCCAAGGAAGGGCGGGGTTCAGGGCAAGGGCGGGGCAGGGCGGGGCCGGGGCCCTGGTGATTGGGAGCCTGGTGGGCGGGGCCCAGGTGGGCGGGGCCCAGGACCTCCCCGCCCTCCCTGCCATTAACTCAGTGGAAAGCGGGCCAGGAAGCAGAGGTCCAGGTTCTAACTCTGATTCTATCACAAAACACTGCACCCAAAGCAACCATGCAGCTTCCGAAGACCTCATATGTGCCCCGCCATTTGCTGGGTGCTGGGGATACAGACATGAAAAGAAAAATAAAAGACTCAGCCCTGCCTCCAGGAGCTCACAGTCCCGCTGACGGTTTAGTCCTCTCCTCTCTCCGGGCCTCACTGCCCCCATCTGGGAGACTGACAGATTGGACTATCATGACCCGTCTCGCCGCCGCTGCGGAGACGCCCCTGGATCACGCCCCTGCCTCTACGGCCCTGGACAGGGCTCAGGGCCCTGTCCCCCCAAAATTGCTCAGGGTGAGGTTGAATGGATCGACCACAGCAACGGTCACCTCACAGCAGGAGATAGGGAAACTGAGTCCCAGAGAGTCAAGAGAGTGCTTCCCTGAGACCTGGGTAATACTGGAAGCTGGGCTTCCTTCCACCAAGAGCTCTTCCTCCTTTTTTTTTTTTTAATCATTTTTATTTTTTGTTTTTGTTTTTTGAGACGGAACCTCGCTCTGTCGCTCAGGCTGGAGTGCAGTGGTGCAATCTCAGCTCACTGCAACCTCCACCTCCCGGATTTAAGTGATTCTCATGCCTCAGCTTCGCAAGTGGTTGGAATTACAGGCATGTGCCACCACACCCAGCTAATTTTTGTATTTTTAGTAGAGAAGAGGTTTCACCATGTTGGCCAGGCTGGTCTCGAGCTCTTGACCTCAAGTAATCCACCTTCCTTAGCTTCCCAAAGTGTTGCGGTTACCAGCGTAAGCCACTATGCCCAGCCCAAGAGCTCTTTGCCTTCTGAGAGCAGCGTCCTGCGGAGGCAGAAACAGGTATTTGCCCTCTCCAAGCCTAAATTCTCACCGGCTTCCCCCAACAATCGCACTGCAGGTTCCGCAGGCTTTTCCTTCCTTTCCTTCTTGTCCTGTCACCTCCCTTCCCACAGCTCTGGGATGGCAGCCTTTACCCGGGCTGTCCGAGCTCCTGGTTGCTCCCCAGAGACAGTGGCCTGGCTGTGTACTGGCATCCACAGCACGTGATAATAAGGGCTATGGGATTTGGGCGACCTGGAGGGTGAGGAAAGGAAAGGTGCCCATGTGAGGACCAGGCTTCTGGAGAGAGGGACTGGCAGGAGGAAGTGTTGCCCCAAAGGGCGGGACAGGGCTCTGAAAAACCACAAGATGCTTGTGAACAGCCAGTGCTGCTGCTATCCAAGCTGTTATCCTGTGAGGTGCCTGGGCGGCGCCCTGAAGTTTTGGAAGGTGGAAGATGAGTTCTCTGCAAGGAGGGTCTTCCTCGGTGGGACAGAGGCCTCACCCAGAGCCCGAGGGCAGCACAACACCCCTCGCAGGCCACCTGTCTGCACAGTTCACCCTCCTCGGCCTCCTCTCTCCCTCCTCCCACCAAGGTGGGCCCTTTGTTCTCCATCTGACTCACCGGGGCTCCTTCCCCCATCCTTTCCCACATCAGCCCTGCCTCAAGCTGGAGGGGACATGCTGGGGGAGCTGGGGAGTTGGTTTGGGTCCTGCTTCTGAGAGGCGAGAGCTCCAAAGCACCCCTCCCTGCCCAGCCTGTTTCATCCCCAGATCGTTAGAGCTGACACAGGGTCTGCCTAACTAAACCCCACTCCCCTACCCCCTCCACTCACCCCTGCCCCCAACACACACACACACACACACACACACACACACTGGCTCCAGCTGTCCTCAGGGTCCCAATGCCCTCTGGACACTATCCCAGGACAGCCCCTCTAAGTCTGCCAGTAGCTACCATACCCCTCCCTCCTTCTCCAAGCTAAATGGCCTCTGTTCCCTCAAAAACAAAGAACTAAAGGCAAGCGCTAGAATGATGAAGCTCTTAGAAGCAACAGAGGGCTGCGTCTCCAGGACCTCATGGAGGCAACGGCCTCTCAGCCTTGACACCAAAGCATGAGCAACAAAAGGAAGAAGAAAGAAATTGGATTTCAGCAGATTCAAAACAGCTGTGCTCCCAAGGACACTATCAAGAAAGTAGGCTGGGTGCAGTGGCTCACGCCTGTCATCCCAGCACTTGGGGAGGCCAAGGCGGTTCAATCACTTGAGGCCAGGAGTTTGAGATCAGCCTGACCAACATGGCAAAACCCTGCCTCTACAAAAAAATATAAAAATTAGCCAGGTGTGATGGTGCGTGCCTATAGTCCCAGCTACTCAGGAGGCTGGGGTGCAAGGACTGCTTGAACCTGGGAGGTAGAGGTTGCAGTGAGCCAAGATTGCGCCAGGATCTCTGTGATTTCACCTTGTGAAGAATCACCAGACTAGTTTTTGCCAGGCAGAGCTACAGCATTTTACCTTCCACCAGCGTGTATCGAGGTTCTTATTTCTGCACACCACCTTCACCCCACACTTATCTGCCTCTTTTTCCCCCTGACTTTGATTCTAGCCTTTCAATGAATGTGAAATGACATTTTCTTGTGGTCTTGATTTGCATTCCCTGGTGACTAATTATGTCTGGGTGTCTTCATGTGTTTGGTGGCCATCTGTCTATTTTCTTTGGGAAGAAGCGGCTGCTTAGATCCTTTGCCCATTTTTAAATGGGTTGTCTTTTTATTCGTCGAGTTACCTGAGTTCTTTACATATTCTGGATACAAAGCCTTCTTAGAAAATAAAGATTTGGCCAAATATTCTCTCCCATCTGGTTGGTTATCTTTTACTAACTTACTTTTTTTTTTTTTTTTTTGAGACAGGGTCTCACTCTTTTGCCCAGTGGAGTGCAATGGCCG